CCTACATAAGGACTTTAGAAGAAGGAAGCCTCTCTCTTCCTGCTTGCACATACTGACCAGCACATCTGTTGGAACCTACTTCAGGATTCAAGCTTATACAGAAGGCCAGCTGAAACACCTAGTCTCATGGGATTGAGAAACTACTAGATTCTTGGACTTCCTGCTCATAGCTACCTATTGTTGAGTTAGTTGGACTGCAGACTGTTAAGTCATTCCAGTAAATTCCCTTAATAAATAGAGACATTCCATAAGTTCTGTGACTCTAGAGAAGCCTGACTAACACACCCATTTTTAAATTGGGTTATTTGGGTTGTTGGCATCTGACTTCTTGAATTCTTTATATATTTTGGATATTAGCCCTCTGTCAGACGTAGGGTTGGTGAAGGTATTTTTCCAATATGTAGGTTGTTGTTTTGTCCTATTGACAGTATTCTTTGCCTTACAGAAGCGGAGATCCCCATTGTCAATTGCTGATCTTAGGGCCTGAGCCATTGGTGTTCTGTTCAGGAAATTGTACCAGTGAGTTCAAGGCTGTTTCCCACCTTCTGTTCTATTAGATTTAATGTTTCTGGTTTTATGTTGAGGTCCTTGATACACTTACACTTGAGTTCTGTGCAGGGTGTTAAATATGGATTTATTTGCATTTATCTACAGGTAGACATTCAGTTAGACCAGCACCATTTGTGGAAGATGTTCTTCCTTTTCCACTGTATGGTTTTGGCTTCTTTGTAAAAAAAAAAAAAATCAAGTGTCTGTAGGTGTCTGGTTTTATTTTTGGGTCTCCCAGGAAGCAATCATACTAGATTGTAGGTAGTAAGGGTCTCCCCATACCCAAACACAACATATATGAGGATGATAAACTTGGGAAGGCTCAGCAGCAGTAAGAAGCAATCGAGAGAAGAAGCCCCTGAGGCTGTGCCTCTTGAGGTACATCCATCCAGCTGTGCAAAACGGTGGGCCATCTCCAGGAAGCTCAGTCGCCCTTTGCATTTCCTCTTGAATAGCATCTGTCAGTGGTGCCTGAGGACTGCTTTCCTTGCAAATCATGGAAAAGTCTTTTCCTGAGAAAGGGTGGTTCAGCCTTCCTGGTAGTCCTAGGATGAGATTCACTGGGGAGCCGCCATTCTTCTCTGGCTTCAAACTGTGATGACCCAGGAATTCATTTCCTTTCTGCCTTCTGTCCTCTTGTCCTTAGCCACTCCCCTCAAGCCACTCTATGCTACATTCAGCAGAATGGATCTTTTCAGACTGCACAGATTAGCAATTAAGTGGCCTAGGGTCAGCCACCCCCTTCTGCCCACATTTGGTTGACACTGCACATAGTTACCACCTATTTCTGTCTACTAGAAGCTTGGGGCTGCAATCTAGGGGTGCACTGCCCTTCCAGAAAAATGCTATCCTAATCTATATTCCTGCTGGTTCTAGTATCTTTCAAACTCTAATTTTTGAGAGGGAGGTGCCTGGTTCTTACAATTCAAGGTACAAATATTTACTCTGTACATGGGATACTGAGGGTGTAACTTTGGACATAGCTTCTTGGTAATTCTATCGTAGATAGGAAAAAAAAAAAAAACGGTTCAACTCCTTTTGGGAACAGAAAACCCAGGGAGTGTTGGCATTGGGTGTAGCCTCTGCTTTGTCCATGGGCTGTTATTTGGTATCTATGTATGCAGTGAGGGAGTGGAGTGTTTGCCCCTAGGAATTTCAGTCTTTGTGAGGTGTCTAGAGAAAAGTCACCTTGGAGGTAAAGGTATCTTCCATCAAGCATGATGACATGAGACTTGTATCCACATGGTAGAAGGAAAGAATTGGGCTTCCAGCAAGTTCTTGTCTGATCTCCACACATGCACTGTAGTGCACACACACACACACACACACACACACACACACACAGTATAATGATTTTTAAAAATGTATTTTTAATTTTAAAATTATGTGTATTGTTTGTAACTCTGTGTGGGTTTGTGCACAGAATGTAGTTGCCTACGGAGGCCAGAAGAGGGTGTTAAATTCCCTGGAACTGGAGTTACAGGTAGTTGTGAACTGCCTAATATGGGTACTAGGAACTGAACTCAGGTCCTCTGAGAATATTGCTCTGAGCAATTCTCATTCTAACTGCTATACTCCAGTCTTAGACCCCATAGGTGTGTAGCCACACCAATACTGAAAACTAGATTTAGTCCAACTTCAAAAGTCCCCATAGAGTTTAAAAGTCTAAAGCCTCTTTTGAGATGAGGCAATCTCTTTACTATAACCACCTATAAAATCCAATAAAAAACATATTACATACTTCCAACACACAATGGCAGAGAATATATAATACCATTCTAAAAGGGAGCAAAGTGCATAGTGAAGAAATATTGGATAAAAACAAGACTAAAACTAAGCACAGCTAAGTTCAGATCCTGTGGTTCTATATCATTGAACTTAGCTGGATCTTCTCTTCCAGCTTTGCTCACTGCAACATACAGTTCTCTCATGCTCTACTCCCTGTGTGCAGCTCTCCTTGGTAGATAGATACCCATGGCTCTGACATGTCTAACATCTTGGCGTCTCTGTGCAACGCAGGCTTCACTTTCATGACTCCATGCAATGACATCTTAAGGCTTCTAGCTCTCTCAGGGCCTTCATGAAGGGACTTCTTTAGCCTCACTAGCTCTTCTTAAGCACAGAGGAAGACTCCACAAGCCTTTACCCATGTACCTTTCATGACTCCGAAGCCAGAACCACACGGACAACAGTTTCAAGTTTGGCTAGCCCCCTGGAATCATGTTCACACTATCTTTCCTTTGTTGCTTTTTAGGAACAGAAAATTCCAGATGCCCTTTACTCTCACAAGCTGAGAGCTTAGCTGGGTAGGGTCCTGGCCTGAGGACACCTCCTTTTATTTCACTTTGGATCAGGCCTTTCTTTAATCTCCTTATCTCTTTCAGCATAAGCCTTGGCTCCAAATTCCATGGTATTCTTTTTCTCCTCAAACTGTGCATTTTTTTTGTATTTGTGTATTTGCATAGGAGTAATTACAAATAACCATGTAGTAAAGTCAATACTAGTATTAGGTTGTATTGAAATCTCCTCTTCCAGTGAAATCAATTCCTTGGTCTTCAATTTAATCTCAGGCAGATTCTTATGACAAGGGCAGAAATCAGCCTCATTCTTTACCAAAACATCACAAGAATGGTCTCTACCTGGGATACTAATATTGTTCTCCTCTGAAACCTCTTGAGGCAGGCCACCATAGTCCACAGAACTGTCCTCCATATTCTTACTAGGATGGCTCATTAAGCTCAGCTTATAGTTTCAGCTTCTTAGTCCAAAGTCCCGTTGTCTTCTACATTCCTCCAGAACCCAACAAGGTCAGGTTTATCCAGCTTTATCCCACTCCTGGTACCAACTTATGTGTCACTTTTCTCTTGCTGTGATAAAACACCACGAGCAAAGGAGCTCATACAAGTATTCACTTGGGCTTATAGTTTCAGAGGGTTTGGGTCCATGATGGCAGAGCAAAGACATGGTGGCAGGAACAGCTTAGAGTTCATGTCTAGACCCATGACCATGAGGAAGAAAGGGAACATACTGGGAAGAATATGGACCCTTGAAACCTTAAAGCTCACCTCCAGCGACATACCTCCTCCAATAAGGCCACATCCCTAGTCCTTCCCAAATAGTTACACCAACTGATGACGAAATATTCAGACATTTAGACAGATGGAGGTCATTCTCGTTCAAACCACCACAAATCCTGTCTTCACCGGAGAGGCTAAGAGGATTCTCAGATATTTGTTGTTGTAGGCAGGCTACGCATGGGGTTGGCTTTGTGTCTCCACTGTACACATTTTAGAAGTGACAAAACTGAGGCTAGGATTGCAGCTCAAACACTTGCTCAAGGTCACACTGGGAGGGGGAAGTGTCAAGTCCTCTAGTAAAGTGTGAACAACTTGAATTCTTCTTCTTCTCTTTTTTTAGTTATTCCTGAGAGACATAATCATCACTTTTGGTAGACAAACCAAGTCCAGAAGGTTGTCTCAGAAGGTAGGGTGGAACCTTGTTCACACACTGCTCTTCAAAAGGAATTCATTTCCTCTTGGCTTCTACCCAGTGGTTTAGCCCTCTGGACGGACCTGAGATCTTACCCGGCAAAGGTGAGTGTCTTTCTTTCTCAGTATGACCACACTGACATAGCTGTTCCCAAACCTATTGAGAAAGAGAAGCAGGCAGATGATAAAAGAAAACCAGACTGGAGGATTTAAAGAGTAGCCTTAAGACATTCACAGGTTTCTAGAATTTCAAGGTAATTATGCCAATCAGAAAATTGGACGTGGCTCTGTGTTCAGGACTTTTCTCATAGCCATGATCTAACACCGGATGAGGAGAAATGGCCACAGAGGAAGGACAACTTATTCATGATTTGAGGTTATACTCTGTTGAAGTAGGAAGACATGCATACCACAGGAAGCAGCTTGTAGTTACGGTTAACAGGAGTGTGAGGTTGCTTGCTCACATCACATGGATCAGGAGGCAGAGAGAAGATGCTCATGTCTTGTAGCTGGGCCCTGTGTCCCCGTGTCCTAAAGGGCTCTTCTTCAACTACACCATCAGCTGTAAAAGTTCAAACACATGAGTGAATTTAGGAACTCAGATTCTTCATAGTTGCTTTTTGAACACAGAGAAGTCTGTGGGCAGTCCTGTGTTTACACCCAGAATACGTGGCTTCCAGACCTGTAGGCTGTCTAGCTACTTTGTGTCATTCTTTGTCATGGAGTCATCAGAATAGTTCATCTGTGAGGGGCTGGCTGTCCCCAGAACTGGGACCAGTGTCTAGAATCCCAGACATAACATGTGATGTTCACACCGATTCACAATTATATTTCCTTAAACATTTATATTTCCGTTGCATTGGGAATTTTCTCGGTAAACTTATAAAATCCTTTCAGTTTATGTGTTCAGGTTTGTATTATTCTACCCCGACACTTCTCAGGCCTGACCGTTTGTCTTTGTTCTTTCAGATGGCCCACACGAAGAGGAGGCTAGTTTACGCTTCCATTCTCATGATGGGCGCACTCTGCTTGTACTTTAGCATAGAGAGTTCTTTCAAAGAACTCCCGTTTGTTTTCAAGAAAAGTTACGGGAAGTTTCTTCAGCTTCCGGATATAGACTGCAAGCAGAAGCCGCCTTTCCTCGTGCTGCTAGTGACGTCATCCCACAAGCAGATAGCCGCTCGCATGGCCATCCGCAAGACGTGGGGTAGAGAGACATCGGTGCGGGGCCAACAGGTGAGGACCTTCTTCCTTCTGGGGTCCTCAGAAAGCACCGAGGACATGGATGCCACAGCCCTGGAGAGCGAGCAGCACCGCGACATCATCCAGAAGGATTTCAAGGATGCCTATTTCAACTTGACCCTGAAGACCATGATGGGTATGGAATGGGTCTACCACTTTTGTCCTCAGACAGCTTTTGTGATGAAAACGGACTCAGACATGTTTGTGAATGTTGAGTATCTGACCGAACTGCTGCTAAAGAAAAACAAAACGACCAGGTTCTTCACAGGCTACATAAAGCCCCATGATTTTCCCATCAGAAATAAGTTCAACAAGTGGTTTGTCAGTAAGTTCGAGTATCCCTGGGACAGGTACCCACCATTTTGCTCCGGAACTGGTTATGTCTTTTCCAGTGATGTGGCGATCCAAGTATACAATGTATCAGAGAGTGTTCCGTTCATCAAGCTGGAGGATGTGTTCGTCGGGCTCTGCCTGGCCAAGCTGAAGATCCGGCCGGAGGAGCTCCACACCAAACAGACCTTCTTCCCTGGTGGTTTACGCTTCTCTGTGTGCCGCTTTCAGAAAATTGTGGCGTGCCATTTTATGAAGCCCCAGGACCTGCTCACTTACTGGCAGGCACTGGAGAGCTCGAAAGAAGAGGACTGTCCTGCTGTCTGAGGGGAGCCTGGTGGTGCCTAGGACAAACTTCTGATAACCTTTGGTGATGATTTGGGAAGATCTGGGATGGTCTTGCTGGAAACTGTCTGGGGTAGAGAGAGGATGAGGATGTGCCACACGAGAAAGGATATCCACAAAAGTGGGAATGACTTGTTCCCACTCGGCACCCAGAGCAATAACAGATCTTAGTTTTTCAGGCCTTTGCAGTGTGCCCTTGATGTTTGAGACACACCCTTCATCCACCGGTTTTAGGGCTCAGCATACATATGAAGAAGCCCTGGATGTGGTCATGCCCATTTTGTAGGTTAAGAACCAGCAGGCAGGGTCACTTACTCGTTCAAAGACTCACAGCCTATAGGCGGAGTGGGAATGAGAATCAAGTTGTAGCAGGATTCAGCTGGTGGTCCCCAACTGGGTGTCCCATGCCTTTGGAGAAGGTGGTGGTGGGAGAAAACGTGGGAGGAGTCTTACAGCTAAGTAGCATTCTTCAGTCCTTTTCTGGAGCCCCCTGCCCCTCACTTTCCAATCCCTTGTACTTTTTGATTGTTAAAACTGAGAAGAACCAGCTTTCTCAGGCCTTGCCCCTTGCTCGGATGATGTAGCTGGGCACTGAGTTAATACAGATGAACGACTTGATACCTAAAGTGTCCTCAGTATGATCCCAGGAGATGTGCATGCCTGTAGCTACTGTAACTCACTTCCATGCTAGAAGGAAGCTGGTTAATAGGACCATAAAAGTCAAGCTGAGAAGCCACTGCTGAGTCTTACTACATAGACTGACCACACTGCTGACATCCCAGTGACAGAGGTGTCTCCACTGAGCCGACTCTGCTATGGATGTACTATTAGTGACCATTTGCAGCCCTGGGGCACTTCAGACCTCTAAGTTCAAACCCAAGGCCAACCAGATACAGGCATTGTTTGTTTGGGTAGCCAGGAGCTTTCCTGGGCCCTGGGCTCAGTCTAAGCTCCTGAGATACAGAGCAAGGAAGGAGGCCCAGTCTAGAGGCTTTTGTCCTTCTTGACCTTGGCTCTTCACCCTGAATTTATCACGTAGTCATAGACATGCTGAGTGTTGCCATTTGGAATTTAACTTTCTGTTCTCAGCTAGGTGTTCCCAGTCCTGAAGGGTTTCAGAGCTGGGTAAAAACGGGTCTTTTGGCCATTCAGCCACAGACACCAGACATGTAATCTTGCTCTGTGTCACAGGAATTATTGCTTTCCCACAGCTCTGTACTTCTCTAGAGTTTACTATGTGCTTGGAGCAAAGGATTTGTGTGGTTATGTAGTTGTATATGTTGGAATATGCTCTCACCCAAACTCAGGAAAACTTAACTGTCGGGACACCGTTAGGTTGGAGGAAGCTGGAAGCTGCCTCCAGGGCCTCATTTCCACACTTGTTCCTGTCTCTCCTATGAATCTCTTTCGCAACTCTTGGGGAAAATTCTTCTGTTTGTGATATGCTTCAAAGTCATGCAACACGAAGTTCTGGACCCTTATTGAGAATATGTGAAATTCTGAACTGGATAAAGAGAAAGGGTATTTGTTCCCGGGTGTGTACTATGGACTACATATACCATCAAAACCAAACCCAACCACATCTTTGACAGTGGGAGAAGCCAAAACTTGTAAGGATGTGGTGGTGTTGCTGTCTAGAGGGTGGGAGAGCTGGCATCAGCACCTGGCACCAGCTGCCATGCACCGACCTTCTTTTACTCATTCATTAGCCATATTGCTCTTTGCATCCACACATCATGAACAAGGTCAAGGTTAGGTCTGCAGATAGCAGATCGGAGCAAGCATTCAGTGCTGAGAAGACGGTTGGGCATAGGTTCCTTTAGTATATGCACAGCATCCTGGATCCTAAGCAGATGTGGTCACCTGTGCCCACACTTGCTGTTGCATTGGAGATGCCAGTGTCCTTTGCAAATGGGCATTCTTTATTCTTACAACCAGATTGGTTGTCAGCAGAGGCAGCTGAGGTGACTCACCCAGCAGCTGAGATGTGGCACAGACACAGCGCTCAGCCTTTTCCATTGGTGCACCGTCAACCTCCCTTCCCATGTGCTTGCTTCTCTCAGAAGCTTGGAGCTGGTGTTACCCCAGGAGTCACCAGCATCTCACTTTGCCTGTACGCTACCACCTCTGTTCTGGGTGTTGTCTTGAGTGTTGGTCTGCTACTTCCTGGTTCTGCTTGACTTCCTGTGACTTGGCCCTGGGGCTATCCGTGGAATTTTCACACCCCCACCTCCCCATTTAGACTAGCCTTATCACGAGGTTATGTGTGGCCAAGTCTGGCATATTGAGTTCAGACCTTGAGACCCATGTGGTAGAAGGAGAGAATTGATCGTTACAAGTCCACTGTGGCACATACATGCCTGCACACATGTGCATGCAAAGATATAATAAGTAACATGTAAACAAAATAATTTTTGGCAAGACTCCTTCAAACACTGACTTCTGAGACTCTTTGCTTATTTTCTGTGTTGCTCTCCATGATGCAAATCCCTGTGTGGGAACACTGGCATAGGTGTGCAAACACTAGCACAGTTGTGTGAACACTGGTACAGCTGTAGTAGGAAAAAAAAACCCTCTCAGGATTATTTGCAAAATACTTTCATTTGGTTGGGAATTCAATAGAAAAATTTGTTGGGGGCTTGCCCCAGGTCTGTCTCATGTCCCATCTGTTAATCTAACTCCCAGGATAAGACCCTCAGAGCCGGCCTGGCCTTAGATTGTTCCTGGAGTTGAAGGGTGGAACCATCCAGGCTCAGAGTGGAGAAGGGCTATGTGAGCCTGACACAAGCAAGTTAGAACGAAACATAATAACAATAGCAAAAAGGTTTAAGTCCATTAATAGTAGCATTTTCTAATTACCAGGTATAACACTTTTAAATATGAATAGAAAATGGATTTTGTGGCCAAATGTCATATACCTGCTTTTTCCATGGTATTGTTTTGTGGTTTTTGGTGCTGGGGATGGAGCCTTACTGCTTATCAGGGCTCCTCTACTGTGCCTCTCCAGCCCCTGTTGAGTTGTTTTGCACCATGCATTTTACTACCTCCTCTAGGGGTCTTGGGGATCAGAACCTGGTGCCTGCAGTTCACATGCTGTGCTGGGTAGTTTTAACTGTTAACTCTGGAAGAGAGTTTTAATGAGAAATTATTTCTTCACTATTAATTGATGTAGAAAGACTCAGTCCATTGTGGGTGACACTATTCCCTAGGCAGGGTGTACTAATTGGTGTGAGAGGAGAAAGCCAGCGAAGGGCAAGCAAGGATCCGTGTTTACCTCTCTGTTGGGACTGTGGTGTGCCTGCCCATCTGCTTCATGTTCCTGCCTTGACTTCCCTGCAATAACACACTGCAACCTGGACTTGTGAGCCAAATAAACTCAATCTTCCCCAAGTTGATTTTGTCACAGTAACAGAAATGAAGCTAAACCAGATGCTCAGGGTGATAGCTGCTCGGGATCAGACCCTTCTCACATTACCCTGCCCTGGATGTCATCCATTACCACCCCTCTGTCCCACACAGAGGGGACCCCAGAAGCTGCTTAAAGTCTGCTTCAGGGAAATATCAGAGTGGGAGAGCGGACTCATTTCACATAAAAAATGCCTTCCATGGCTGCAAACGACTCATCTGCAGCTGCGGACCCTTTGTGGTCGAATTTGATTTCCTAAAGGATAAAAAATTTAAATGTCTATGTCATTGAATGGAGTTTGGAATTGTCATTTGCCTGTATGTGGAGGAGGTTCTACAGGCTCTGATACTGTATTTTGGGAGTGGGTGTATGTATTTATGATTTGTTAATGATACTTATCTTTAATAAAAATTAAGTTATAAGCAGCGTAATGTATGTGGATGGTACTAACCTTCAGCTCTCTGAAGCTAGCAATGTATGTGTGGCCTAAATTGCACTGTCTTTTCTTTTTCCACTTATGTTTGTACCTGGAAAAAACCAGAAAAACATTTTGTTTTGTTTTTAAATTTGGCTTTGATTTTGTATGATTAGAGAGTATTGCTGAAGATCCTTGATAATCTTTGAAAGATACAAGGACTTCTTGTTTTTATATTTTTGGGAAACAAAGCCATAAAACTACAGTTTGGAGGGCTTTAGGGCAGGCAGCATCTGAGGGAGCAGTGTGTGTCTGGGGTGCTATTGGTAATTACGAATCCAGACATTAGCAGGCAATTATCCTTTGAAATTATTTTCTCTCTGGCATACTTTTCTTTTGTTTAAGCTTAAGAAATTAATGTTATGAATTGACTGGGTGGGCTTTTGGTGTCTCTGATAATGATTTGTTTCAGAGGTACAGTTTGGATCCTGGATCTCTGATGTGTCCAAGGTGGATGGATCAGAAACACCTCCCTCTGGTGTTAGCATCACTGTCGTGTCTCACGCTGTAGCCCTTAAGTCTCTGCACCTATGCTCCATGCTGTCTGCATCCTCTGCCAGTCTCAGATACCAAACAAAAGTTGGAAGCAGCAGAGAGGCCACAGGGCTGTGCATGGAGGTGCAGGATGCCAGCTTCCAAAGGCTCTGCTCATCCCTCACCCACCAGCTACGTCCTGCCTCTTCATGAAGGCTGGCCCTGTCCCCATTGCATGCCTGTCTTGCTGCCTCTCCAATGAAGCTCCCAGCATCACTTCTTCTCAGTTCCAGTGCCCCGTCTCTCCCCTTTAGAATGGTCCCTTAGTATACAGAATGCTCTTCCTGTTTACATGGGCATTTCTCCAGACCTCCTCCTCTCCAGTCCTGTCTTTCTCTTTCTCTCTTAGTGCAAAAACCATTCCAAAGGACAGCCTTCCCTGTGCTATATGTTCTCAGCTTGTTTTTCTCACTGGGTACATTCTGATCCATCCTAGTGAAGGGACAGCACCCTCCCTGTGGTAACTACTTCTAGCATACAGGATGGGGGTGGTGTCCAGCCTGCTTCTCCACCATCTCCCAAGGCATCACATTCTGTATGCCTCTGCTTCCTGACAGACTCTGTAGT